TGTTATTTTATGCTCTTTCTTTTCCGAGCGAATTAGTTCCCTTCCATTCTACAGTTGCCCTTTTGCCTCATCAAAGATGATGCCGACGATGAAGATGTTCGCCTTGTTCTTGGCGATTTTCCTTATGCGTTACCTTAATCCTGGAGGTAAGCCTTGCCCCAGACACTATACATGTTAGCATATTCACATATAAATACGTGTACGTATGCACATTTCCTGTTTGTTTTTTAAACGTGGATGTATATGAATGGAGACCGCCTTTTGGAGGTTATTCATTTAGACTCCCTTTTTTTTTTTTTTTTTTTTTTTTTTTTTTTTACCTTGTCTCAGATTATATGTCATCTTCTGACACCATCGGAGGTTAATTAAATAAAAAAGAAAAAAAAAAAAATTCCAAAGGCATTAAAAAGGGGCCGTGTAGAATTGATCACATGGGACAGTTGCGGCTTCCATTTTTATATGTGTGTTTGGAGAAAGGGGGTGGGTGGTGGTAGTCATGCATGGGTGTATGCATTAGCATTTAAGTGGAAACATGAACGTGTATATGTGTGCCTCCTTCCCTCTCCCATAGCACAGCTGTGCATTCATGTAAGCACGCCTGCACGTGAACACGCCTACTTACGCTTGTGATCCCTCTCCCCCTTTTGTAGCCTTTGAACCCTTAGGTAGCGCCGGCCGACGTAATATTAGGATACCATGGGCCCTTATTGCGAGTTCAGAAGAGCTAAACGAACAATTTAACGTGTCTGGCACAATTCGCCTGAAGACGCAAATCTCATTACTTGCTTCACCCCATTTTGACCCCCTCCCCGTCGCATTTCAAATGAAAGGCTCCAATCCAGCGAACCCTAGCAGGAAAGGTACTTCACGTGGAAATACAACAAAATGAAAAGATGAAAAAGGGGAGAGATGCACAAAACTAAGCGCCACACATTAACATAAACATCTATCCTCAATGTGTAATTCTTTTTTTTTTCTGCGACATAGCTATTTTTGCAGAACGCAGCCTCGCTTCTTCGGGTACGACACAACGCACTATTCGAGAAATGAAACGAACGTATCGCACGAACAATTGAGTTTGCTTCCATATAGTGCAAAGATGCTTTGCCTGTCTTTTTTGCAAAGAGCTCATACTTATACGCCTTTATCATTTCTGCCCAAACCCGTAATTATAGAAGATCAGTCTACGTCGAGCACCTCAAGTAAGGAAGCCAAAAGGACAACTCCCATGCGCGACGGATTAGACCAGCTCAAGTGCATGTTTACTTAAAGGGGGAAGGAAACGGCTGATGATCAATTTTATATATTCACTTTCACACCACATCTTTAATGCTTCCTCCCACGTGTTGCTTACATGTTGTCCATTTTCGTAATTCTCCCCCCCTAGCCCCTGCTACATCGATCATAAAAGAAAGTAACCCCCGAAAAAGAAAAAAAACGTACAAAGGAACAAGTGAGAAAAGGAAAAGACCAAACAAAGTAATAGCTACAAATAATGTGCACAAAAGTAATTTTTTGTTTTTTTTTCCCCCCCGAAATTTGCCCCCTCCGAACACACCATCAGGACATCCTTTCTCCAGTAAACTAGCATGAATTGTTGACAGTGGTCAATGAATAATTTAAGGCCGCCTCGGTCTGCACAAAAAAAAAAAAAAAAAAAAAAAAAATGCAAAAGAACAAATTAACCGCCTCCTTCTTCTGGCCCCCTTTCCGACCATTTTAGCCGTCGTACCGGAAGAGCAACCCGCACCCAGTGCCACATGTAAAGGCCTTTAATAAATCCTTAAGTTCTCTTCTATCTGAATATATTCCCATAAATTCCACAATTTGTTTTCCTTTTTTCTCCCTTTATTTTAGATCCGAGGGTAGATATGCATGCAGAAGGTAGTCCAACACATCGGAGAAAAAAAAAAAAAAAAAATACACAATTACACACTTCTTACTCTAAATGAAAGTTTAAAAATGGGGGGAAATGTAAACAACGTTCCTCACTTTGTTCACCTTTCCCATTCCATCCTTCGAAACGAAAAACTATAGGACCTAGAGCAACCACCAGTAGCCGCTACAACAGATTCTTCAAAAAAAAGGCCAAGGAATCAAAAGAATTAATTAACAGTTACTTGGACAGCATATTAGACAGCGACATGTTAATATATTACGAACAGAATGCGGGAAGCATACACAGTGAGGTAATATATATATATATTATTCTTCCTCTTTTTTTTTCCCAATTGGGGGAGATACAACACAGCGCATATTCACTGTTCTCACGTCATGACCCCCCTTCCCCCCTCAACGTACAGGACATGGATGTTGAAAATCTATCGGACGAATTGTGTATACAAACGTACGTCATGTCCGCACATTTAATGGTGTACGGTGATGAATTCCAAAAGAAAAATGCTTATATGAATATATGCAGAGATTGCCATCATTTTTTCGTGAATAAGAAGGAGTGCCTAGATAATTCCATTAACATGTCCATAAACACTGATAGTGAAACGGAAACAGGTGAGAAAATAAATGCGCATGTACACTCCACTGGGGAAATAACTTAAGTCTTTATCCTGAGATTTTTATTATTGTTTTTTTCTCTTTTTTCCCCCATTTGCGCAGTAATAAAAGTTCCCTTGTTAGGCCTGAAGTATGAGAAATCAAGTAAGTAAATGGAGAAGGCTGACGGAACAGATGTGTATGTGTCCATAGGAGCAATGCCAAATCTATCACACTTGGTTATTCTGCCCCATGGGCTGTACTGCCATGGTACACTGTTATCTGCACAGTCTATAATGCTTCCATTGCTCGACATTTAACACTTACATATCACATCATTAAATGGCTTCGCCTCACCTGTGCCCCCCTCGCAGGAAAGTCAAACCAGTCTCTTGTTGTCAACTTCCCCGTGACGTACGTCCTGTCAAGGTTAACATCAAGCTTAGTCAACATGGACTCATACACTTCAAAGAATATGTCAGCAAGCTGTGATATTTTGCAAACAAAATTGAAAAGATACATAAATCAAAGGCTAATCAAAATTCCAAACGAAATGGGTATTTTCTCGAACTACATTTCATGTTATAGGGATAATTTTAATAATGAGATGAGTAACAAACGAACGGACACATCCAACCCATTGCACAGTTGTAAAGAGTTGTTGAACTCATTTGAACATATGCGGGAGTTAACTTACTCCTTCGTAAACAAGTCCAGCAAAAAATATTTGGAACACCAGAATAGTAAAAAAAGAATGGAAAGTTTTGTTTTCTCCATTTTCAATTTGAAGTATAGAGAATCTGATACAAGTGTGCATATTAAACTCATATACGATTTCTACTTTAACATTCATGACGTTATAGAAAGGATTAGAAACGTGTACAATGAAGAAATCAGGTATTTTTTTTTAAAAGATTTGGAAACGCCTCAGTTGTTCTTCTTAAGAAATAATTCAAACATAAAAAACATCTGCTCCATAAATATAATTGCAACCATTTCTTGGTTTTTCAATCAAGTGAATATGGGAATATATAACAAGAATAAAACGGTTCCGGAATTATTTATGGAAAAATTTTCATCTAAAAATATTGAGAACATAGTAAAAATGGAAAACGTTCATAACAATGTACCAAGAAAAAACGTCATGGATTTATGCCTTAAGACTATGACAGAGATGGTTGATATGTTTAGAGCGGCCTTGCTTGATTACCACAAGGAGAATTTATCAGAACTTGATGAAGAAATACAAGCGATGGAGAAAGCGCGAGGCACATCATCGGGGAGAGACACACCGAGACCCCCAAGTCCAGCGAGTTCATCCGATGATGATACAATTAGACCCTCAAGTGCAGCGCAATCGTCCCATGCAGTTACACCGAGAGCCCCAAGTGCAGTGGAAACGTCCGATAGAGACACACCGAGAGCCCCAAGTGCAGCGAGTTCATCCGATAGTGACACACCCAGACCCTCAAGTTCCGCGGAACAGTCCCATGGAGATAACCCCCAAACTTCGAGCCCCAAACCAATGTCATACCCATCTGTATCATTACCATCCAGACGGGGATACATACCCGACAACTTCTCATCAACCTCATCCGTATCCCCATCACCATCCCCACCTCCAAATGAGATAACCAAAAAGTTTACCTTCGCAAACATGATTAAATACGCTGAGGTGTCCCTTCTGAATAATAGGCTAAGTGAACTCCTAGAGAATACGTCAGACCATGGTAGCAGTTACGAATCCCATATAGATAGACAAAGCTTACAGAGGAACCTTTGGGCAAGGGAAAATTTTATTTGTTTAATGAAAATTTTCTCAAGTAAGATGAATTCTCATATTTCTGAATTACAAAATTCTTTCCTACAAAAGCTTACTCTTGAGAATTATAAATTGTACTCAGTTTTACATAGACCCCTGGATGATAGAGAACATATGTACTTTTGTACCTTTCCCGGGGAGTATTTGATTCACAAAATAGTCTCCTACAAGTTTTTTTTCATGATTAACATTTACAAGTAAGGTTTGCGTATGGAGTTGGTTGTGCTGCTCTCGGCACACGAGTCCTTGCTTTTTTTTTTTTTTGCCACTTGTTTTTGCCCCCCTTTTTGTGATAATCGCCGTTTGCCAACTATCCGCATTTTTAACGTTCCAGCATGACCTCCCTGTCAAACTCAAACGCGTTCTGTAAGACTTTTTTTTGTTTCCTTCCCCCTTGGAACATTTATTTGTAAATTCGCTGAGTGCACAAGCGCACAGAAGAGATTCCCACTTAACGTACACCACAGGACACACGCACTGCACATCATGGTTCACCAAAATGTGCCACTATATTACCACATAACAGTGTAAACATGAAGGTAAAAGGGGTCGCCGCACATTCTTCCAGCTCTTTCACCAAAGGCGAAACGCACAAAAAATAAATAAATAAATAAATAAATAAATAAATAAAATAATGGATAAAATAAGATAAGATAAAGAGAAACCACCATGTTGAGGGCTCCTTAAAGAACCCTTAAAAATTGACGCAAATTTTTCATTCCCCATGCTGGAAATACGAGAAAGCCCGCACAGACGAATAGATTTACCCCTACACACGTTTAGACCTAGCGACGTACGAGCACATGTGTCAATTGGCCCCCCAAGCCCCCACAACTAGCATCATAAATTGTGTTTTCCCGCTTGCAACATAACGTCACGTGTTCGACCCTTTTCTGTTTCCTTTTTTCGCACGCCAAGACGTCCCACCCCAATTGGACTCTTTATTAAACACGCTCATGGGTTACTGCTGCTGCTGATTATGCAATACCTTTCGTACCCATGCGCATGCGCATGGACGGGCGTCGTTCTTTTGTTGGGTGGAGTATATTACTTCATTTGCCATTATCTAAGACAAAGAAAAAAGGAACTCCTTAGTTGGTTGCAAGGAAAGGAAAACATCATCTTCGTAATTGCACACCCAGATGATGAAATTATGTTTTTTTTTCCAACCATAAAATTACTATTTGATAAGAAAAAAAAAGAAGAGATTTTTCTTCTCTCTCTAACAAATGGAAATTTTTATGGTCAAGGAAAAATCCGAGAAAAGGAATTGTACCATGTCTGGTCCTACATAGGGGGGGTCAAAAACAACTGCAAAATTGTGAATCACCCGGATATACAAGACAGTTCGGCCTTTTGGAATGAGCAGCACCTTGCGGACATCCTAGCAGACTACTGCAAACAGTGTAACATAAGGAATGTAAGTTTTAGCAACCACACAAGCGAGGGCCAACAGCGTGCGGGTGATACAGATACATATGTATGGGTAGTTATTCGTGTTCCATGTCCCCTTAGGTCCTAACATTTGACGGATACGGAGTGTCTGGCCACCCCAACCATATTAGTATCCACAGAAGTGCGCGGTAATGTTGGCAACTCTATATATTTGCACGCGTCTGGAGTCTTGTACACGCGTGCGTACCTTTCGGTATCATCCCCACTCTTGCACATGGAGAGACAGACGGACGTGTCATTTTTTGCCAAGTTTGTGAGGACGACCACCCACTCACACGCATGAACAAGTGACGAGTGTTCCTGTGCAACTATGGATGTGCACATTTTTACGAACTCGCAAAAAAAGGAATTCTCACCCCCATATATCTCTACTTTCAGATTGTTGTCGAAACGGATGGGCGTAAAAGTTCTTACCCTACATTCAACCCATTTGATAGTTAAATACTTGGGCATGTTTTCGCTACCCTTTCTCTTACACAAGAAGTATATATATATATATATTTTTATTTTTTTCCAGCATATGGTGGAGCAGTTCGTTCATTTCTCCTTGTCCTGACACGTTTGCCTATTGAACATTTCGCATTTGCCGCTTCAACGATTTTTTTTTCTTTTTCTTTTTTTTTTTTTTTTACACCCCGGCCAGATTTCTGACGTTTCGATTTAATCCCGTCTTACTACTACGGTGCGAGCATTCAAAGGAGTGTATCTGCAAAGAAAAGGGGGCACCTTTTCACCAAGTTCATATTTTTGCTTATACTTCCTTTTTTCCCCTCCCCAGGTTGATGTACCTCTACAGGTCCCAGTTCGTGTATTACCGCATTCTCTTTTGCCTTTTTTCTCAGTAAGCGCATGCCAATTGAGAAGCAGGGGAGTACGAAGCCATTCCAGCAGGGAAGTTGCAACACGCTGCTTCGAAGTTGCTTGATGCAGGCCTTTTGGCATTATACGTGCAATCCCTTTAAAGCACCCTTTGATCGCACTACACAAAGAAGCAAAGACATTGCACATGAACGTTTTGCCCACGTGCTGCTGTAACTTCTCCGCAGGTATGCCTACTTCAACACCTTTGACTTGATCAGCTAAATCTAATTTACACTTTAATTTTTTTAAATTAAAAAATTCGTAAGGGGATACAGTTATATACACATATGCGTACATATATATTCAAAATTGGTGGGTGGATTTCACTTGTAAAAAATGGGAACGTACAATGCGTGTGGATGACAACGCGTGACGCATAAGCATATATATGTTTATATATACGTATGCACAGTCCGCACCACGTACATATGTGTTCTCTACACACACGTGTGTGTGCGGGATTGTATTTTTTTTTTTTGTTTCCATTTCCCTGTATATTTTTGCAACACAGTATACATACACACACTTCCTCTCTTTCTTTCAATCTCTTTTTTTTTTTTTTTTTTTTTTCCCATTAATTTTACACGCAATGAATAACTGATGAAGTATCATCGAAATCAAATACACACACGAATAATATATGTCTAGGTACATAATATATATATAATGAATTGTTAAAAAAAAAAAAAAAAAAAGCACCATTATATTTTGCATGTTAAAACGAAAAAAAATGAGGAAAATGGGAAAAAAAAAGAAAAAGAAAAAAGGGAAAAAAAGAGGGTAAAAAAAAAAAAAAAATGGTTATAAGGAAGCATTTTTTTTTTTTAAAAAATGACAGTAATAGGGGGTTTATAGAAGGGTATAAAGTAATAAAAAAAAAAAAATCATTTAAAAAAATTGGCATTTATTTTATTAAAAAAAGGGCACGTGTGTGTACATGTTTACATACACACGCACGGATGCACAAATGTTCGCTCCTCGCTCTGAAAAAGGGGGGAGTTCATTAAAAACAATAAACACAGGAGCGCGCGCATACACATATATATACGCAGTTGCATTCATACGTGTGTACATAAATGTGCACGTAACTACATACACGCACGATACATATTTAAATAATAATGTACAGGTTGTTTTCCCTATAAAAAAAAAGAAATAAAAAATAAGCGGAAATGCTGTCAGGGGATATATATCTTCTCTTTGTGTGAAATTTCAATAATCTGTATCAGTCCCCAAGCCGAGTGAAGAACATTAATTTATTCCTTCTGATATGCCAAACGTCGATATCGTGGTAAAAAATAGCTGTACATATTCCATGTTCAAATAGGCAATTGTTCTCCTTGTCCGTTGAAAAAAAAAAAAAAAAGGGCCTTCCATAGTTAATCTTCCTAAACAACCTCTTCTCGTATTACACGGGAAGAGTACCGTAAAAACGAAACAATGGCATACTCCTTTATTCAGTTCATTTTTCTTTAGCGGGTGTGAGGATGTAGTTAGTTACTTTTAGCGATGACCTTCCTCGAACATTTCCACTGTAGGCAGGTGTAAATATATGTACTCGTCATACGTTCTGGTTGGATCTTTCCATGCTTAACAAAATATATTTAGGGCGCGTATTTTTTGTACCATTTGTGTTATGTGGTTCTCGTCTATTTTAGCTACATGTCGACCTATCGCTGCTCCCCTTTGTTATTTTATGTTCCATACTTTTCAATTATCTTCTTCACCTCGGCTGCAATACATTGTCACATACGCCTACTCATACAATCCCCTGATCAGAAAATACAAAAGGCAGATATGTGCATACTCCCTGTTGTGTCGTTTGTTCTGTGGCTTCTCCAAACGAGGGTAAGAGAACCTTCTTACAAATGTGCCTACCGTCAGTAGGTTATTCAAAATTCCACATATTCTAACGCGCGATATGAACATTTTTTTCAAGCAAACTTCACAGTGAAGTTCCGACAGGGGCCATTAGTGCAATGGGTTATACTCCATTTTTCTCTGCTTCATTTCTCCCCATCTACGCACAACTTTACAAAAATGGATAGTATACAGCGGACGAGAAATAATGGGCGGGTCGAACAATTTCCTTGATATGAGTCAGTTCACCTCCGGAGGGAGCTTATCATTCTTATTTCTCTCAGCACTCATGATAAAATTTTTCACGTCATCCAACTTTAGGTGTTGCAAAATGTTTTCGCTAGTGATGGTGGTCATTTTGTTCGTATGGCCTTGAGGGAGAGTTTTACTTGGGTTTTTTCGGATGCTCATGAACTCGCTGTGCGCTCTATTCGCGTTGTTGCTTTGGCTACTTCTGTCGTCGCTGTTGTTGGTGGTGCTGCTGCTTGCGTTCTTTACATTGGTCGTGTTTCTTGAGTTGCTGGGTGTTTTGGCACTTCCGGGACTTCTGGCATTTCCAGGACTTCTAGCATTCCCAGGGCTTCTAGCATTCCCAGGGCTTCTAGCATTTCCGGGGCTTCTAGCATTTCCGGGGCTTCTAACATTTCCGGGACTCTTGTTGCTTCCAGGACTTCTGGTATTGCTAGGACTCTTGGCACTGCTGGGACTTCTGGCATTGCCTGGGCTTCTCATATTACCTGGACTTTTGGAGTTGCTGGCGCTTTTCATCATGACCGGACGCTTCACATTGCTCAAGCCCTTAGCACTGGCGCTTCCCGCTGTGCCATCCTTCGCGTTCCCCATGCTGTTCTTCTCCCCACAGGCACTGGAACTGTTGCTCGGCTTCTTCCTACGGTAGAGAATGTACTCCTGAACCTTGTTATTGCCGCAGGCCTCGGATGAACTCGTAATTTTTTTTATGTCATAGTCCACATTTCCGTCCGCACCACACGAGGTGACTCGTTGGTAAGCGGGTTCGCTTCTCTTAAAATGAAAACTAGTTCTTGAGTCCATGTTCATGGAACTACTTCTCTCAGGATTAGTTTCATGCCTATCAGCTTGCATCATTTTTTTTTTCATCAAGTTGGTGTTGGCACAAAGGTTTAGCAATTTCTTTTCTATATCTTCACATTTTATATTCTTGTCAATATTAAAAATATCAACATTAAAGTCGTTAATGGAGGCAAAGTTGTTGCTGCTGTTATGGTGACGGTGTCTACTAAATTCATCTGCCTTCTCGATGCTCTTCACGGGACGGAACAGGGAAGAGGCTGCAACGTCCTTGACGTTCCGCCCAGGTGTGGTGGACGTACTGGAACCCTTATTAGTGAACATACAATACTTGGTGTTCTTTTCAAACATATTTTCATACAACTCGGGGTTAAAACTTATTTTGTTATCGTGACTCGCATTCGTATTACTGTTTATGCGGGACTTGGCATAAGTCACATCGGCTACCTTGTCCCCAGGAATGCCTTTCTCCAAGTAGGTACTATTCTTTAGGGAGCTCTTCATCTTATTGAGGTAATTCTGAATTATTGATTGTTCTACATCACTTTGGTTCAGCTTCCTATTCTTATCGACACATTTCAGTAAATCTACATCGGCTGCTCCCCCTGACCCGCCTGCACCACATTCTACAAACGAGTTATTAATTAATTTCTTCTTTGTAACTCTTAGAAATTCCTTTGCTTTCAGTAAAAAATCATCGTTAAATGAGTCTCTGATAAAATTGGCGTTGTGAATATCTTTAATTAATTTTTCATGAAATGGATTTATTAGATAATTTAGTTTTTTCATATTATTTGCATTTTCATTTTGTGACTTACTTACATTCGCTGATTCTTCCATGTCATTGTTGTCATTCATTTTTTTTTTCTTTATCTTTTTAACGGTATTTTTTACACACTTTTTTCTCTTCCCAGTCATGGATGATATTTCGTCGTTTATTCTTTCCCTCATTTCATCCGTTATGTCACTTCTTATTTCTATGATGTCCTTTGTGTCTGAGCCATCCGAGTTTATAATTAGCGGTTGGCTACATAGTAAATGTGTGAGGTTTGCTTTACTCATGGACCTGCCTACACTACTGGGATTTCCCTCATTCCTGTCATCATCCATTTTTCCTGAAGGGCTAAAAACTCCGCCTCCACTACTGCTATTGCCCCGTTTGGATTCTTTCTCCTTTTTCACGACCTTTTTCTTGGAGGATATTAGCATATCCCACTTCATCTCTCGGATGCAATTCTCCAAAATATCATCCGCCTTATCTTGGAAGTGACTATATAAACTTTTGAATTTAAAAATAGACATATTTTTATACTCCTCTTCTGTATGTTCATCCGGTATCTTTCTCTTATTCAACAATTCGATGAGTTGTTTTAGTTTTTCTCGTTTATCCTCATATTCTTGTTTTTCTGCGTCCGTTAATTTATCACAGTGCTTTCTAAAGTGAGCCAATTTTCCCAACTGCACGGTGCCACACTTGGAACATACAGCTCGCAAAAACCGTCTTGCCTTTCCCTTCGAATTCGCGTCATTATTATTGTTTGGTGTACTGCCATTTAGTAAATTATTCTCTCCCTTCACATCACTGCCATTATTATCTGACGACACCATGGTGCTCATCATCAACTTCACATTTTCACTCGACCCTTGGTTAGACTTATCCTCCACGTTGAAATGATCCTCTCCCATGACGCCCCTCTTGCTGTTTAGCTTTTTCTCATGGACGTTCTCTTCGTCCTCCTCATTATCCTTACTCTCGGCTTTATCAAAACAGGTGCTACGTGTAAAATCCTGTTGCTGCTTCTCATCGATTTCAAATTTGATCATCTTTCTGCTCAACGTATTATCGCTGGTATTTCCCTGCATGCCACCACCTCCATGTTTGTCATACGTACCTGTGGTGTCTTCATCTCCGCTCGTCATTATACTATTACTTGCTTTAAAAGTGAAAGAATTTGTACCTTGCAAACCGTAGCCTTTTTTACTGTCCTCCTTGTTTGAGCTACCCCTCATAGGGGGAGATACTCCTTGAGATAAAAATAGGGTTCCCTTTTCACCGTCTTCCTCATTCTCCTCCTTCGTCGCAACATTGTTGGACGCATCCTTCTCCTCATTGTTATGTTCTGCTTTCTCTTTCTTAAATTCAGCAGAAACAGGAGAAGAGGGGTCTTTACCATTTAGCGCAATTCCTTTGTCAGAAGTGCTACACCCAGAAGGGGGCACATTATTATTTTGAGACGACTGGGTAAAAGACGCGTTCGCGTAAAAGTACGATTTGTCCAGCTCTAATGGGTAGCAACACTGTCCTGGGTACTTATAATTCGCATGACAAGGAAGTTTACAATTTTCACAAAGGACAAGAAGTTTATGAGGCAATTTCGTATGCAAAAAGGTAGTGGACTTTTTCTTATTCGATTCCTTGTTGTCATCTTCAATTCCTTTCTGTTTTAGCACTTTTGCATGTTCAATTCTATTAATTAATTCCTTAACAAAATTGACAGGAAATAAATTTTCATATGAACTTCTCAGTTGTGATTCATATTTCTGGTCCAAGGCATCTATTCGCTTTCTATTTTCTATGATGAATTTATCTCTTTCCATTTGCTGAGCTCTCTTTCTTTTCTTAGCTTCTAACTCTTCCTGTTTGCTGTCATGCAGTTGGCTTCTCAGTTCCTTTTGTAGCTGCTTCTCGTTTTCTCTTTCCTCCTTGGTCATCTTTCTTCGCTTCTTCTGTTCCTCTACGGCCTTACATTTGGAACACAAAAAACACACCCAGTTCTGCGGAGTGAAGTTTACTCCCCTCTGCCGTAAATTGTGATAATACTCCTCACCAACATAATAACGCACATAATCTGGAGGAAAACAATTATAGCAGAAACTTGTGGGACACGTGGCACAATGGATTAGTAAGTTACCACACTGAGATGATTTTCTAAAACAAAGGCAACATTCATGCCAGCTGCAAGTCCATGTCTTCTTCACATTTTCATCCTTAATCCCCTCACATAACTTATGATAAGTTTTGGGGCATCGAAAGCAGTTGATCATATCTCCGTAGTCAATTTCGATATCGTTATTGTTTCGGTCCTTCACCACCGCTTTGTAATTTTTCGTGTTATTACAAATGAAGCATCTGTACTCATGCTTGATTTGTTTCACTTCTTGTTTCCTTCCCCAGTACTCTGGTGTGTACATATTCTGCGGCTTTTTCCTTTCCCTTACAGATCTCCACAAGGTCGTATCGGAACCTCCGGTCCCTGCTGCAGCATTGCCACCACTTGTTCCATTTATGTTGGTCGAACTGTACTGCGAACTGAGCGGTTCCCCTGCACCAGTGCCATCTTTTAACAGACTTCCCTTCGATTTGGAACTACCACCTGTGACGTACACTTGGTCGTTTCCTTCTCCATACAGGGGACTATTATCATTCATATTATTAACTGTGCTAAGTCTCATTTCGAGTTCTTCCGCCTCATCCATCATAACCTCATCTATGTCTATTCCGTTATCATCATCATCGTTATCACCTCCATCCTCGTCATCAACCTCGCTGTCCTCCCCATTTCCACCACCTCTACCTTTCTGTATACAAATGTTGCCATCTTCTGTTTCTGCCCCATTATTATTTACTTCTTGCTCTATGGTACTTTTCTCCACCTTCTCCAAATCAACCCCATTTATAATGGGTAGCTTTCTTCTTCCCCTCTCTATGAAAAATTCCAGAGGATAATTGTTCGTGTTTTCCACGTCCATGTTCTGTATAGCTGCCTTCCCATGTAACATTAGCTTCCTAATCTCATCCGAGGATAGTTTCTCTTCAAAGTTGTCGAGCATATCTTCATCGTCCTGTGTTTGAACAACTAGCTTGTCCAATTTCAATTTCTGTTCTCTTCTAAATGCCATCCTTTCTTCTACAGTCCACTCCGTCATGAGCTTCCACACGTTCACTTCCCTCTTCTGGCCAATACGGTGGGCTCTATCGATTGCCTGAAGATCGATAAATGGGTTCCAATCTTCGTCATACATAATTACATGATTAGCTGCCGTCAAATTGATTCCCAGTCCTCCTGCCCTCGTACTAATTAAATAAATAAAATAAATGCTATCAGTTAGGTTAAATTCCCGAATGTCTAACTCTCTGATCAGCTTGTTTGTTGACCCATCCAGCCGCATATACTTCCAACACCTGTACTTGCAATACTCTTCCAACTCGTCTAATACCAACTGGAACTGGGTAAAAATTAGCACCTTGTGCATTTTGATTTCTCCTCCGTTGGATTTGTCCTCAGCTGCATTGTCCTCTTTCCCGTCATTGGCACATGTGCTCTTTTGGTTATTATCCTTTGGGCTGACTTCTCCTCCATCTGCCCGATATTCTGCTGCGTTCCGTTGGTCTACCCCTTCTTCTCTCTTCGGGATCAGTACATCTGCATATTTCGTCTTTTCATCGCTTCCCATCTTACTGTGCGCACAGGAGTTTTCGCCACCCTCTTCGTCGCCCTCTTCCTCCTTTTTCGCGTCCTCCAGGTCGGTCCTCCTAGAATCGCCCTTATCAGACATCTTCGTCGACTGCTCGTTGGATTTATCCAAGCTACTCGGTGAATCCTTCTTTTGAGTTTTAAAGAAATCCTTTATGTTCATCATTTTGCAGTTGTTCCCGGAGGTGACAATATTTTGGGCATTATCACTAGTATCCTCATTCGGTTCGTCCTTCACGTTGACACCGGACTGCACCGCAACGCTATCCGCTTTGTGCTCATCGCACTCGTATTCTTCCTGTGCTTTGTCTTTCTCCTCGTCCGAGTCATCATCATCTTCTACCTCATTGTTACTATCGAACAGGGTATTGGTGCTTTCCTTTGTGTTTCCCTTATGACTGTCCTTATTCTGTCCGCTGCTATCCTCATCATCATCCTCTTCTTCCTCATTATCTTCCCCTTGAGACAGCTGCTTGGAGTGCTGCGCTTGGGTGTTGTCCTCATCCTCGGCGTTATCCTGATCATCGTCTGCATCCTCCTCCCCCTCGGCGTCATCCCCCGTGTCACTTTTGCCATTTTTGCGCACCTCTGCTTTGTTGTCATCCTGTTCCTCATCATCGTTATCATCGTGCTCCTCATCGGAGTCCTCATTGAACAGATTATTCTCACCATAAGCTCTTTTTCTGGTGGTACCACCTTGGCCAGAGTTTCCCCGGTAATGGTACTCGGACAGATCATGAGTGTGATTAGGACGCTTCAAAATTTTGGTTCTTCTTCCAATGGACTTTCCACCTCCATTGACTAAATTATTTTTAACAAAGTCCTGGACCTTATCATAGATGCACCTTTTCTTTTTATAAGGGCATTCATTATCAATGGGTACCGTGTGCATGAAGCCTTTAAGCATATCTTCCTTTTCGGACGTGGGTTTTAAATCAAATTTTCCCTGATTCAAAATTTCCATAAACATAGGGCTACTTTCCAGCGCTTCTAACTTTTTAAACTTCCCTGAATGTTCTCTTTTTTTTTTCTGGGCGTTATTTTGTTCCTGAATTTTGTGGTACCTATAAGCAGCAACTTCCTTCTTGTGCTTGTCAAAACTAGACGAGTAGTTTTTAACATATTTACAATTTTCGTAATGCAGTTGGCACAATAGCTTGTCGATGAAGATAAGCTTCGAGGAAGACTCGATGTGCTCCTCTCCAGATATGTGCTTCAACTTTAACGCATCATTCTTTACTTGCTCTTTTACTTCTTCACTTTCTTCTTCGAAGAATGCAAAAAGCTTTTCCATTTGGGAAGGTCGACTAACTATTCCTTTGGGGTGGCCACAAATGATTCTCATTTTGATCACCAGCCCCAGTAACTTTTTCACACTAACTTTTTCTTCCACCATGGATCGAATGTCCAGCAGTCTCTTATACCAGTGAGCAGACAGAGTACCCAACGGTAACCAAACATCATGGAAAATCTTTCTCGGCAACGTAATAGCTTGCTCTTTTAATCTCCTCAACATAATTTTATCTAAAAGACATCGTATCGACTTTAGATCCTCCTCCTTTATGGCAGACTTGAGATCAATATTGCCAATGTTGACGTTGAGTTTCGATCCACTTCCACCCGCGTTCCCATTTTGGTTACTTTTATCATCCTTATTATTTTTATTCTTCATGTTATTATGTTTTTGATTGTTGCCTGCACTGCCACTATGACTACTGCCCGCAGCAGTGCTCTGCTGAGATGCGTTCATAAAGGCCTGCTCGATAATTTCTGAATTTTTAAATATATCTGGGAACATAAAATTAATGAGAGTAAACAGCTCCGCTGAATTGTTTTGCAACGGAGTACCCGTGAGCAACAATCGCATGTTGCCCACGACTCTATCCATTGAATGTCGGATGGCACCACTTTGATTCTTTATCCTGTGGGCTTCATCCAAAACTATACATTGCCACTTGGGAATAGTTTCCACGAAAAATTCCTCCTCATTTTTTACTGTTTCGTAGGTAGTTACGTACAAATCGTATAGCCCCTTCTCGGCTAGTCGATCCTCCTTCGCATGAGTTCTTTCATTTTTAGAACCACATATTTTAATGCACGTAAGATGCGGTGTAAATCTATGAATCTCCCGGAGCCAATTACCCACGGTGGATAAAGGCACGACGATCAAATGAGGACCATCGATTTTGTTACATTTTAAATAGGACAGAAAACACAAAGTTTGTATAGTTTTCCCTAGTCCCATTTCATCTGCTAAGATAGCTCCTCCTGTGAGGAAAGACTTTAATAACCATTCGACACCGTCCTCCTGATGCGGCTTTAACTGTACATTGTCCACCAGTGGCCGCCTCTCGATTTTACGTCCATTCGGATAGTAAACACTTAAAAATACAGACTCGATAAATTTGCATGCATTTTCATTCGCTTCATCTTCAAGGGATGAAATATATTCGTTGAACTCTTTAGAATCCATATCTACATCCTTCCTCGAGTTACTCCCGCTATGATAATTCCTATCCGAGTCATAGTGTTTCCCTCCTTTTCTACCTCCACTGCTATGCGCACTAGTATGGCTACTCCTCGAGTTGTAAAAATCATTTTTAAACGTTTTGGTAAGGTTTGCAAAGACTCGGGGGTTCACAAAGGGTTGTAAATCTTTCCTATGTGCTAGAAGAAATCGATTTCGATACTTTATGATTTTCGACCTCCAAAAGCTTAGCTCTCTTTGTCTCTTCTTCATAATTTCCTGAATTTCATGTTTCGTCCACCTCTTATGTCCCTGGTTTAGTAACGGGTCTTCATTTTTGCAACATGGGCATTCCCACTGATCTGATATATTATCAAAATCTAGATCGGGCAAGCATGTTGGGTGAAATGAATTAGGACAGAAATCACAGCCAAGCAATTTCCCCGGTCTCTGGCATACATAACATGTGGAAGAATTCACATGTTCACCATTCATATTATCAATAGCAAATCCTTTCCGCATCCGTCTCACATCCAAATTTTTGTGTTCCTCCGGTTTACACACTGGGCAAAACCATTTTTCCGACTCCGGTTCTGCCTGCAGACCTAAACAGGTTACATGATAGCTATTGGGACATCCATCACATAGTAACAAAATTAAGTTAGACGATTTTTCTCGACATATTTTACACCTATCTTCATTTTCTGGTATATCATCATCCTCATTCATACACTGGTAGCAAAGGTAATTTTTTATATCTTTCAATATTTCGTTATCAATTAGCCCTTCTGCCTGTAGGCACTCCCTGTGAAACTTCTTCTTACATTGTTTGCATTGGATGCATTCGTCTCCATCTTCAAAGTTTTCACGACACAGTGTACACCATGTTTTTCTTATTCTCATTTTAACGATCGGGGTGTAGAGACGTCCTTTGGGACATATATATGTGTAAGCGCACGTGCAAATGCACGTCCAGGTATATGTGCTTACGCGTTTTGTCTTTTTTGTGTGTATATGCTTACACGTATGCGTGTGTGGTCAATGTAACAACCTTATAGTTCTGTCTTTGTACGAATTCGCACGAGCAGTCCTGATCGACGTGACATATATATGTGTACCCTACTGACACGAGCGCTATGCACGTTCGATCCGTATGCGTTATACTCGTGCCCGAACTACTCCCAATAAACACCATGCGCGCCGCACATGCACATGTGTCCTCTAACTCGTAAACACTATTCTTTGTATTTGCATATAATAATTCATTTAAGGTACATGTACATGAAAAGGGGCAACAGGTTCGTGGAGCACTAAATAAAAACGTGGGGGGGAGCGCAAACCCCGATCGGTTCGCACGTGTGTATGTATGTGTATATATACAGAGAGGTTTGGTATGCAAGCGTACACTAGGCACTCTGTACGCAAGTATATACCTACGCCCAAATGAGTATGAGGACGCATACACACGTCAGTATGGAAGCGTCTTGTGCACACGACACGAATTGTGAAGCAGCAAGGGGATGCGGGGAATGCGGCTTCTTAAAAGTTTAGAAAAAATATATATATATACACGTGAATATATGCGCATGTACACACGTATACATACATATATACATACGCCCGTGTATATGTATTTCACGTTTGCGCAATACGCGCATGCACGCTCGACTTTTTTTTTTTTTTTTTGGAAATTAAAAAAAAAAAAAAAAAAGTACGAATTGAAAAGGGGGCGAAATGTGAGCACATGCGCGTATGGAGCAAGGTATGTACGTAAATGACGTATAAGTAACCTTACTGCATACATACGCGATGGCGGTATGAACGGACGCACGTGTTGTACGTACCATAAGGTTGGTCACACGTTCACGAGCAATGTACTGTTATCACCCATTTAACTGAATTTTTATTTCATTACATAAACTGTGCATTTTATGCTGTAATGTTATGTATGATAAGTACGCTCATATATTTGTATGATTGTACGAAGCAACGAACGTTACGTATGTATGAACGTGCGTACGCTGGCAAAGATTACGCGATTGCAAAAAAAAAAAAAAAAAAGAATAATAAAATAAAAAAACACGAAATAAAAAGCAGGAAAATAAACAAAAATGTTATTCGCATACGTACTCATACAAACGCATAAATTGTAAATATCATACAAAATGTATTCATATAACGATTAAATTAAAAAAAAAAAAAAAAAACAAAGTTTCATCTACATGCATTCTTGGGTCATAATTATCCCGCATGTATGAATGCACGCAAAAACCATACGTAGCGCTTTGGAGCAATTGTAAAAAAAAAATATATATATATTGCTTAAAACGTGTACCAGGTGAAAAGGCAGAACCGGTGAGCGTGCCAACTTGTAAACATATTACGTATGCATAATTCACCCGCCTGTATGCACTACGCACATGTGAACATCGCCTCACGCATGCTATGCATTATTCCGGCTAATTCGAATAGTGTCCTTGGTGTTGTTTCGCTTGGGGATTGTATACATATATATATATAAACATATGTATACATCCGCAACCTCATGTAAAGTGCAAATGGGCCTAAAAAATTCCCCGCATGCAAGAGTTAGGATATCCAAAAAGAAAAAAAAAAAAAAATACATGCACGAGGAGTATGCATATATATGTATGAAAGTACATACCAATAGGGTTACCTGCCCTTGAGAGGCTACTACTTTTTATAGAAAAGATGGCAGAATCGGGTTTGCAAAAATAAAGGCCCCGCGTGCGTAAACACATTCCGGGGAAGCCAAAAATTTTACATGGCAAAAGGGTACATATACGCTATGCATACTTACGCATTGGGGACCTATGCACGTACGCATGTATGCCGTTCCCTTGAACTACCACACATATATGGAAAGCAGTGAATGAACACATAAAATAAGTGTCACATATACAGTATGCATGAAAAACGCAAACCAAACGCCTAACTCGGCATACAATATATGCTCATATGCATATGCGTATGCATGTATACACGCTCTCACGACAAAGAGCATATGCACATAAATCTATGAAAAAGGCGATGGAGCTATTCAACATGTATACACTTCGCGTATAGCTTTTTCACGCACATAAAAACTGCATTACGGAAGTGTGCTGCGTGGGCTGTGGGACAAGGCATTCACCCTTATGCGCACGCTGGACGTTTTTACACGTACGCGAGATTTCGCTACAGTAGTACGTGTAAGTATGCGCACATGACACAGCACGTATACATACGAACATAAAATATATATGTACACATGCCATACGTGTTTCTTTCTTTTATTTACGTACACAAGGATATTGTGCTAGTTTTAATTGAAAGAAAAATGATAATGATGAGAAAGTGTATGAACGAATTGGGAAATGAGAAAAAAAAAAAAAATTAAAAAAAAAAAAAAGCAATGAAAAATAAAATAAGAAAAGGGAGAAAAAGAGAAAAATGTTATATATCAAAATTAAAAAAAAAAAAAGATTTGGAGTAAAATGAATCGTGAACTTGTGTGCGAAGAGAATTTTGCCAAAGGAGAAAAAAAAAAAAAAAAAAAAAAAAAAACAGGGAAAAGGGAAAAGGGGAGCGCAAATAAAAAGGCAAAACGAAAAGCAAAATGAACGGCAAAATAATGGTGACATGAAATGCAAAGTGCTCTGAAAAACAGAAAAAGGCAACAAGGAAAAGCGAAATGTAGTGATTTATGACTTACGAATTATGAATTCCCAAATTCCATATATCGTGAATTTCCTATCACTGCTATATTTGGGGATGTAATCCTCCAGGAAATGCAATCGGTCAACTGGTCAACTCGTTATTTTGTATGCATATCCAACAATGCGTTTATGTTCGTGCGGCGGGCAAAAGGCCGCGTGCGTTTGGGTTACGTATAATATATGCGAATGCATATGAAACATACATATGCGTACACACAGGCGATGCGCGTACTTGTGTAATGCCAAGGTCACTCCTTCGTGTAAACTGCTGTGCAATGGGGGGAGACTTTAAAAATTTTGGAATGGGGAAACGTATGTACGCACTGCGATACGCATGAACATGTACTATGTACGCCCATGTACACGCATATCCATATATGTGCAGTACACTCCTGCGTATTTATGTACACTCCTTTGGATGTCCATGCGTACATGTACGTATCAACATATAAAACATCTCCGCGTACAAAATACGAGCATGCATATACAAAACAGAGAAATCATAATACTTATATTTTTACTTCAAAACTTTCTGTGTAAAAGCGTTATGAGTTTCCTCAAATAGCTTTCTTAAAAATTTCTCCATTTTTACAAGTGAATTTCTATTTAACGAAGGGACATTTGTGTACCTTCATTAACATAACTAAATGGAGCAACATGGCATGATAATAATTTTATAAGCAAAAGTAAAAGCACATTTTTATTAAACAAAACCCAAAAAAAAAAAAAACAAAAAGGAAAAAAAAACTTAGGTGTAGTAACTATGTGAGGGGAAAAGGTCACACGAATAAGAAAGAAAAAACAGCATTTTATTTTTCATTTTT